GGGAGCGGGGAGCCGGGAGCCGGGAGCGGGGAGCGGGGAGCCGGGAACGGGGGTCGGGGAGCCGGGAGCCGCGAGCCGCCGTGGGTCGTGGGCCTTGCCCAGGGAACGCCTGTGGAGATAAACGCGTTTCCTGAGGGCCCGCTAAGGGCGCTGCGGCCGCGTTGCCCGCGGGGCGGGGTCGGGGGGACAGCCTGCTCCGTACTGAACAAACCGGGCTCGCTCTGGGGAGCGGGACGGTTCCCTTTCGCTCCTCTGAAGCCGCAAGTTGTTTCCAGTGTCTGTTTTACTCACAGAACATGGTCCTAAGTTTTGTGAGGCTCCTGAATTGCCTTTTAATTCCCCAGGCCTGAATTCTCTCGAGTGCGGATAACAATTTACCCCTTAAGGTACATCGCAGTGAGAGGAGTCCGACCTGCACCTCTTCGCTGTGAACAAACCCACCACACAGTAGCGCTGCCCGCGCCAGGTGAAACACTTGCATAAGCCTCTGTCATAGCGAACGTGCTCCCTATGACACGGTGCCTGTTTTTTCTCCAGTTCTTTATATTCCCTTTTGGCTCTTGATAAGCACTAGTTTGTGATCCCAGGTAGCAGCCTTCAGTTTATCATAATCGCTACTTTTGATCATTTTGTTACCACAGCTAATTATTTTCTCCTAGCTTTACTTTTTGCCGGTGCTATTTAGATAGTCTCAGAATAATGTAAACTTATTAAAGCGATGAGAATTACTCTGAAATAATTAATTACTGCCTTCCCCCCACCGGACCCAAAGCAAAGGCTGAGGTGAGACCACCAACTATTAGTTGTGTTACTCTTGTATGAACTTGTATAAGCACTTCTATCCCATTGTATTCCTGTCTCACTTGACTTGGACACCTCTTCTCTAGATTTCACAGTTTCCTCAGCATTAGTCCTAAAACTAATAGACCTCTGTTTCTTATCTGCTTTACACTTAAATGTACTGAAGTTGGGCTGTTTTACGAATAATTACGTAGCCAAGTATAAATCTGGGAGAAGGAAGGGAAAGGAAAGGAAAGGAAAGAGCTTCTTGAAATATTCTTCTCTTCCTAATTAAAAAATTAAGGTGTATCTTCTCAGTGTTCCACTTGGAAAATACTTATACCTAGGAAAATAGCTGTCAGCTGTTGTATATAGTGTCTGCTGGTGAATTTAGTAAATTACTCATTAATCCTTGTAGCTGGTCTAGTGCCAGTGGAAACACTGATGTGGAAATTAATGCTATTGTTCAATTAACTAAGCATAATGTACCAGAAAGTTAGGCCCAGCACATAGGCCTCCATTAACAGATTTCAAAGAATGTTTGCTTTGATGGCTTTTCCTTCTCTTGCAAACATTTACTTAACAACATCTGATAACAGTTATGTAATATTTGCTCTAATATGTAGGTGCAAGGGAGCTGTAAACATTTTACCCTCCCTCCAATGGATCATCAGCATGATTCTTGTTTCTACCTTACTACCAAGAATATATAAAGTCTCTAGTTTTGTATATCTTGGAAAATAAAATAAATTGAGAAATTATCAATAAATTAAAAACTCTTTATATGAGCAGATGGCATTTTAAAGGTTTTTGCTTTGTACTAGGAACTAATTTGATCATGTGAAGGCCAAACCTTGGTTCTACAATATCAAAACAGGACAAAAAAGGTAATTGCATACACTTTCTGACCATTTTGTATAGATCACTACTTTTCCTTGCAGTTCCACATGCTATACTACAGCAAATAGTTTTATTTCGTATATTATCTCAAGTGACCTTGAAGTACTAAGTGCATTACAGAAGCATTTTGCAGGTCTTTGCATAGAAAATGACCTGGGGAAAGTTTACGAAGGAAATATTTCTCTGTTAGTTTAAACAAGTTATTAAATATAGTATTTCAAGACATGTTTTGCCATCTTTTCTGGTTATTAGAGCTTGGAAAGTCTTTAGTGTCTCAGACTTTCATTGGTTGTGAAGTACTACAGGCAGGACAAGAGATGACTGGCATGTCAGTTGTTGATTGCCTCTTGGATGGAGCAGGATCATGAGTGCTTCCAGGTACAATGAAAACTGTCTCTCTCACAGAAACTTGCTTACCTATTCCAAAAAATCCCTGCTTTCTGTCCTGCAGATTGTGGATTTGTTGCCGTTTTTTAAACATCCTTTGTAAACATGACTCCTCTAGTATCTCTAAGGTGAGAATGCAGGAGCTTCTGAAACTCTCAGAAAGAATATAGGAGAAAATGAAAGCTTTTTAATGTTTGCTGTTAGCTGTTAGTCTTCATTAGGTCTTTATCTTCTACCTAAGCAGAAAGATAATCAGCAGCATAAGAATCAGCAGGAAAATCTTGAAAACTATTATCAGGAGGCCTTCAACATGTAGACTAAGAGAGGTTACTTTACTGAAACAAGGCCAGGATATAACTTCAAACATTATATTGACAAAGTTTTTGGAGAACCAAAGTGTGCCTGAGTGGTTCTGTCTGAAGAAGAGTTCAGCCGGAGCAGATGCATCGTATCCCAGTGGATAGATAACATGGGTGGATGGGTTTGTATTTGTAAATAAAACAAACATGCAAAAAGTTATTGCAATGGTTCTGCGCATCCTGTGTCAGAGAGGCAACTTTTCTGATACTCTTGAGTAACAGTGGTGCCATTAAAGAGGTGCCATAAAGGGTTGCTTATTACTTGGTAGGCACTCTTTAAAGGACTTGATGGAAACTGACTGACTTACTGCAAAATATTTTTTCTTATAAAAGAGTAGTTATTTCAACTTAGTTAAACCAGCAACTATGATGAGGTTAAGTACTAAAAGAAAATTGTTGTTATTCATCTACCAACTGACTTGGCATTTACACTCACGTTTACAGTTAATTATTGTTTCTAAACTAGATTGAAAAAGAGAGGAAAAACTTAGATTCTCCACAGTTTTCCATGCTAACCTCAGACATGTATAAAAGAGTGATTTTTATTGTTGTTATTGTAAGTCTTACTTGTCTTTAAAGGCGAGATACTTTTGCAGTAAAGATATTTCTAAACAAGTACAATCTTGGAAAAGAACTGGGAGAGGGAAAATTAATTCCATCTGTTCTTTTATATGACAGTTGCTTTGCTGTACACTGTAAAAAGCAATAAACTATAAGGGTTAGCAAGAAACAAACCTCCTCAAATATTTTCAGCTAAAAAGCTAGGAAATACTTATTGTTGAAATATCCTTAAATTTTGCTTTTGGAACAGTTTTCCTTGAAATCAGATGATACCAGTTGAAGTGAGTAATTCAATCAATGTAGAGAAAAATACTGTAGTAATTCAGAAACAGTGCATAGAATTTTAAATCTGTTTTTAACTTTAAGGTTTTCTATTAAGCTCAATGCGACTGGTAGCAATAAACAAATAGGATTTAAGACTGCTAAAAAGTTTCTAAAACCAGGTAAAATAAATGGGAGTAAAGTAAATGTGAGATTCTGTCAGGAGGAGAGGTCTTCTAAGTCCATTTAATTGTCATGCCTTATTTGTTGAACCTATTTGATGTTTCCATGTGACTTCCCCGAGGACACATCATAAAGCCCTGGTGAGCCATTAAGTCCTTCTTCAGCACAACCAGTTAAGTAGTTCATATCTTTATCTCCACAACTTCTGCAGTTTAACTTGAAGTGCCATGGAGAGAGCAGTAGGGGAAGTGTGCAGTGGTGCTTTTGTATATAGAGCTGCTTTTGTCTTCAGATACTAATTGCTTCAAATATAAATAATCTTCAATAGAAGATATGAATATGCTGGAATATTAGAGCCTGATAAAGAGCTTGAAATTTTCCTCTTACTGCTCTGATAATATCAGAAGATGGTATCATCAGGCTTTTAGTATCCATTTAATATCTAGTGGAAAAGTTTTTTCATCTAGCCACCTCACAAATTAACATAATCTTTTCCTGTTCTACACTTATTAGTACTAATATTGATAAATCTGATGTGCTAATATATTATCTGTTGTAATCTTTTAAAATCCTTCTATATGGCAGAATCTGTTTCCTCTTGGCTGTTTGCCCAGGATGTTGCCCTGTGCTTCGCTTGGGAATACTTCAGGAAAATACTCATAATCATCTATTCCCAACCTTGCTCTGGTTTGCAAAGCAGGTCTCGTTTCTGCAGGGCTGGGCGGTCAGAAGTGGGGCTGCAGCTCCTTCTGGAAAAGCTGTGTAGGGCTTGCATTGTGTAAACAATGCACAAGAATGGTGGTACCAAATGATGACTCGGAGACTAAGCTTCATCTGCATTGTGCCCTGGATTAACAGGCCTCTAGTGTGAAGGAAACAATTGTTTTTCAGTGTTTTAAGAATACTGCTGCTTTAAAAATAAATCTATAGCTCAACAGCCTCATGGATGTATGGATGCTGGTTGTATTTTCTGTGACTGAAAAATGTGTTGTCAAAGTATTAGAAGCAGCATGGTAGCCAAGTTCTATTTCAAAGTGAAATGTACAGCTTTAATGACAGTTCTGCAAAGACCAGTTATTTGTGTATTCTTTCTATCCTTTATACAGGCAACACTTAATGAAGTACACACATTACTAATGTCCATCCTGCAGAGAAATGAACTGTGAAAAAATTTAAGCAAACATGTTCCAACTGTTCATACAAAGGATTACATAAGTTATACATTGTGTTTCCACAAAACTTTCCCCACAATTTGCTGCTGCCCAGCACGTACTTCACTTAGCTTCCTCTAATTAAAATTTGCAAACAGAAAAGCTTTCCAGGACTAAGAGACTCATGTGCTTTCCCGGAGTTTTGGAGCCACGTGTTTCAAGAATGGCTGGGTACACCACACCAATATAATATAAAGGCAACGTCAATCACCTTCTCTCACTTTTTAATAGCTCCCCTCCACGGTTCTCATTCTCTGTTACTAGAAACTTAAGATTAAAGGAACTTTACTATATTTCAAGTACAGTTTAATTCATTAAGATGGATCTCCTCCATAGCAATGGCGTGCTTATCATTCAGCATTTACAGAGGGACTACAGGGCTTACCAGGATTTCCTTAATTTTATGTCACATGTTGGTGATCCGCGGAATATATTCTCAATTTATTTTCCTCTTTGGTTTCAGCTCAACCAAGTGGTTGGTACTAAAATGATATGGGTGGCAGTCATTGGTGATTGGTTCAACCTCATATTTAAATGGTAAGAAGTTGGATTTATTTTAAAATTTGGTATTTTTAATGATAGTTACTGTATGTGCCTCAAAGTTAGAAAAATTTCTGTGAATAATGTACCAGTAGACTTTCCCCTGTTATTATAAAAAAGGAATTCACAATGCGGGTATTTAAGATATGTTTGAAATGACACCGTGGTAAGATGAGAAAAACCTGTAGAATAGTTTTGGCAATATAGCTCTTCATATTCTTTAGAGGATTATCATGTTTTTCTGAGGCCTTCTTACATAAAAATATTTTCATTCAGTTTCTGCTTTATTTTATTTTATTTTTTGTCAGGATTTTATTTGGCCATCGCCCATACTGGTGGGTGCAAGAAACAATGATTTATCCTAATCAATCAAGCCCATGCCTTGAACAGTTTCCTATAACGTGTGAAACTGGACCAGGTAAGAAATGTTGGAGATTACATTGGTACATTTAATAGGTATAGTGGCTTTGAGGGAGAGAGGATGTGACTTATGAAGGTCTTATATAATATACAAACCTCAGAGTTCATATATGAAATAGCACCAAAAAAAGGAAGAAATACAATGTGACTGGTGTTTGATTGCTATATGACAAAATGTTTACTTCGTTGCCTTTAAATAGTGCAAGGGAGGGGGATTTACTTTAAAAATAACTACTAGTAGAATGAACCACCATACTGGAAAGGAATTTTCACGAAACTTGTGAAATACATTGTTTAATATGTTCCAAAACAGAGCACAGGGCTGTTGAGTTTGAGGGCCAGTGCACTATTGCAAGAAATATTCAAACCCCAAAAACTAGTAGGTGGTTCAGTGTAAATAACAATAGTATCAATAATTGTTGATGTAATGTATCATGAGTGGAAAAGGTAACCCCCCTTCCCAGAACCAGACGCTGACACTAAATGTGTATTTATACAAATATATGGGGGAAAATTATTTTTAAAATGTACTTTCTCTATGTTTTCACTTTTTTATGTCTCATTGTCTTTTCTGTGGAACTCAACTGCAATACTCCTGAAGTCAAATGAACTTGTGCAATCCTAATATGTGAAATAAGATGAATTTGCTTTGAGCTGACTGACTGAATTTAGTTTAATTCATTGTACGAGAAAATACTGACTGTGGAAATTAATGTGCTTTGCACCTCATCAATGCCACTGCAAGCTTTAAAGCAGTTTGCATAGCTGAATTTGTTAACAATATCCTCCATTGTAATTGTTCCATTGTAATTGTGAACAAGAAGTTTAAGCCCTTGTATGAGGCAGGGTTAAATAATGCCTGGTCTATCTGTGATCTGCAGTCTCCTTCAAGTGAATTCATTTGGGACCTAACCCAAAGTATTAAAGTACTTCAGATCTTTTCAAAAGCCTTCAGAACTGAGCCCATTCAGTACCATGTAGTTCCAAGCCCTGGCTAAGGAGCCAGTCAGTGTGTTTCATTCTATTCGTTGAACCAAAAGATCTTCCTTCTTGTTACTTTCTTCCTGAAGTAACAAGTCATTCCTATTTCTGTTCAGTGGATACAACTGTCATATTGATTCCTTCTTTGCACTTACAATGACCACATTTTCCCCACCTCCAGATTTGCCCTGAACCATTGACAATATCTGTCACTGACCTGCTCCTCATTAACAAGAGGAGGTGCAGTCAGTGCAGCTGTTAAGAGCACACAGTTGTTGCATGAGCTTGCATGGTACTTCACACACTTTTAAAATATGCAAGTTATATGAAAAGAGTAGAGGAGCAGCCACGGACATGAGAAAAGCAGATCCAAATATTGCTAGGATAGCCTGAACCCCAGACTCCACAGCTCAACAAGAGGGAAAGCTGTGGGAACTGTTTATATGACTACATGGCAAGCAGGACTTGAATTTGGTTTGTACTTCTGGAATTAGCTGAAATAAAACCCTATTGCCATTTTTTTCTCTGGTATTTTTAAGGCTTTAAGAACATAAACCTTAAAGTGGAGCTTATGCTGTTTCTAGTAGGTAATTTGCAGATGAACTATGAAATGTTATTCCTAGATGACATTTTCCTAAATGACAAGACAGAGGAGCTTTCCCAATGCTGACAGACAACACTATGGTTTCCTTATCAGTGACATTTGTTCTGTTGTGAGGTTTAGGAGTGCACATCTGTTGGGCAATTAACAAAAGAGCTGGTAGAGTGACTCTAAAGATGCTGGCAAGCAGAATAGCAAAAATGAGTGCAGGGAGTCAGAAATCATAGTGCTTGTCCTAGGCATTCCTGTTTTGCTACTTCACTGAAATATCCTATTGCTCTACACACTGCTATATAGTTCTGGATCATAACACTTTCTGGACCCAAAATTATTTCTTCTGACAGTGAAATAACCCTGTCCCTTTTACTTCACTTTGTCTCCACAGAAAGCCAAGCTGTAGAAATATGGGATTGAAAGATTTCAGTGATCTAGTTTTCTCTCTTTCCCTGTTTTATTTTGTTGAATGTAAACTTGGTGAACAGGGGAAAAGAAGTGGCCAAGTAATTTTAGGAATCATTTCCCTTGCATCATGCCAGCATACTTTGTTTTTTGGTGATTTTCACAGTTGTAGGAACTTTTCTGAGGCTTCATATTGTTTCCAATAAAATTAAAATCTGATTTGTTAAATTAAAACAAATTACATTTATATTATTATAACCTGGACTAAAAGGAAATTACTGTTGATCTCTATATGAGAGTGTGTTCCTTGTTACAGACTGTTGGTACAGCAATTGGTTGGATATGTTACAGTATCATTTCATGTGCCAATTTCACTGATACTCTATTTCCAAGCTAGTTGATATGTATGACACCTTAAAATTTATAACATAAACTAAAGTAAAAAGACACAGTTCTTCCATCATACTTGAGATACATTTCTAAATTTATTACAAAACTACCCAAAATGTTAACTATCTGGACTGTGATATTATTAATGAGACACAGATCCCAGTTTTTCACATTATGATAATTGCAGAAGCAGATAAAAGGCAGTTTGGAAGGGCCATCTGAAGTTACACTGTTACTTTAGTTTAGAATGTTACAAAGAGCTAAAGCTCTCTTGCTCCCCTTAGTTATGAGGACACTCATTCAAACCCTTTCTCATCTGATCCTCATATATAACTTCTACATTCCATGCTACAGTCCTAAGAGAGTCTTAGACACCTTTTTTTTTTTTTTAAATCACAATCCAAATCTAAATAATGGGAAAATACTATGTTTTCCAATCAAGATTCCACCCCACACCAATATAAGATAGTTAAGCTGTTACCTACTTGATTTCAGACAAACATGGCCTCCCTATAGATGAGAAGTTCATATTGAGAAAATTAAATTTTGCGAAGCAGTTGACATTCTTTCAGCCTTTGTTAGCCATTTCCTTTCTAAATGATTGGGTGCCTGAGTAACTGCCAGTTGACATTTTCTATATGACAAATGCTACAGTCATCATTCTTAAGGTGAATATTTCCTTTTTGTTTTTGCTAGGAAGCCCATCTGGACATGCCATGGGATCATCCTGCGTCTGGTATGTAATGGTCACTGCAGCACTTAGCTACACAGTTAGATGGAAAGATAAATTAGCTGTTACCCTTCACAGGTCAGTGTCTTTCCATTCCTCTAACTCATAAAGATAATTCTTTATATACATGTTATGTTTTTAATGGACTTAATTTAAACAAATATTCGTAGTCTGTTCTATCCAGTTCATAAAAAAAATAACAGCCCTTTATTATGATCTGCCTCAGCTAAAGAAAAAGTATATTAAGAGGATTTAGCCATTTGTATAGGTTCTTATTTATTAAATTACTGTCATTGCATACAATATCTCTAAATCAGCTCCCACTAAAGGTTGTGTCACCTCTTCAGTATTGGAAATTTTTGATTCTATTAATTGTCATTATTTATTGGATCTTTTGGTTAGAACATAAATTTACTTTGATGGTCATCCTTCTTAGCCCATTTTAAAGCAAATGCACATAATGTTGACATAGTTCACTGTAATGTGTTACTCAGCTCTGCGGAAAAGTCTCATAATTGCTGTCGACCTGACAAGGTTGTTCCCACACTATGTAAATTTTATCATGAAATAACTGAACTTTTACATTTAGGTATGACTTCATGATGAGAAATAATCTCAGGATACTAGTGCTAATTTAACCTACTATGCATGACTTTCATCACTGAAGCCACAGTGGTGTCTTGGACCTGAAGCTGCTGGGGTCTCTTCCTGTAACCACTCTTGATAATATTTTAGTACTGGCTTCCAGGTTTTAATCATCTGATTCTAAACTGCTCTACTTGGTAAATCTCTGGCTGGTAAAAATATGAGCCTGACATGATGGGGCTTGGGATAAATTAGTAGATGAAATAGTTTGTCTTAATTTTTAACCATTTTCCTTTTCTCTCTTAGACTGACATGGTCATTCCTCTGGAGTGTTTTTTGGATTATCCAGATCAGTGTGTGCATTTCAAGAGTATTCATAGCAACACATTTTCCTCATCAAGTTATTCTTGGAGTATTTGCTGGTAATGCTTTTTTTTTTTTCTTTTTAACATATTTGTAAAATCTCAAAAAAAAGAAGTATGAGAAAAGACAAGAGATTTTTCGTAGTTCTACTCATCTTGCAGCCCCAGTGGTGCTCTCCACTCTCTGGAAGGTAAAGGATTTGATAATAGTCTAAAGGTAAAATTTCCAAGGTTAGAATGTGCCTGCTGCCTTTGTAATTCACAGAAGTGAAGGGAGTGAGCCTTTGTCCACTTGCCAGTGGATGCTGACTGTGTTACACCCACACTGCCTCAGACTAGCTCTGACTGGTTTGTACTGGCTGCATCCAATCTTTGACTGCGCTGCCTGCCTGGAAGAGATCAGAGAGGAAGTTGTTCCTATATGGCTCTGACCTTTCACCTCAGGAGGAAGGTGTTTGGGTCACTTCAAATGGTGTCCAGGTGCAAACTAGCATGTGTGCAATGTGGACAAGTATGGGGTCAGAGACCTGGGGCAAAATAGAGAAAAAGGTGAATCAGCAGTAAAAACTCCCCAGGGTGATTTAAGAAGTTGAAGTACATTTTTCAGAGTTACTTAAGCGTGTTGCAAATTGGTATTCAGGGAGTTCAAACTATGAATAATCTCTCTAGTATCTATCTGATTTTATGGAGGGTGACCAAAGCATTGAGCAGGGGCTGCCTGGTCCTGTTCTCTTTCATGGATGCAGTGCAGCCTGGGTAGCCGTGGCTAGCAGCTTTCCCTCTTCACAACCAGGATAAAATGAGTATGAGAGAAGATAAGTGTGTTCTGTGTCTTTTCCTTCAACACTCAAAGCCTGTGTGGGAACTGGTATTGAATTCTGCATTGCTGGTGCCAGTCTTTGAGTGAGGGACTCTTTTGGAAAAGGAATGTTCCAGTTTACATCTAATATTTGATAGGTTGTCATCTGGGCGATGCAGTCAGGCCTTAAGGTATGCCTCATATCAAAACCATGTAGTGCTTGGTATTTAATTTCTTTTTTCTAAATTGGCAGTTTTGAGTGGGAGAAAAGGTTTTGTAATGTACTACAGAAGTGGTAAATTGTGTGTATGTGTATATATACGCATAGATATGAAAGACATATTCTTCTGCCTTCAAAAGTCAAATTCTAGAAAGTGCTTCAGAGTACAAGTGTGTTGTTCCCTGTAACACTGAGTTTCTAATCCACAGGCATTCTTGTGGCAGAAGCATTTGAGCATACCCCTGCTATTCAGACTGCGAGCTTGAGAATGTACATCAAGACAAACTTGTTTCTTTTCATCTTTGCCCTTGGGTTTTATCTATCCCTCAAACTTCTTGATATTGACTTGTTATGGTCTGTTCCAAAGGCCAAGAAGTGGTGTGCCAACCCAGACTGGATAAACATTGACACAACTCCATTTGCTGGACTGGTGAGGAATTTAGGGGCACTCTTTGGTTTAGGTCTTGGAATTAATTCTGAAATGTTCGTCACAAGCTGCAAAGGTAAAAATAGCTGCAAGCTAAGTTTTCGCATATTGTGTATAGCTGCTTCTTTAGCTACACTGCAGCTGTATAATTTCATTAAGATACCTACTCATACTGAGTATTTGTTCTACATTCTCTCCTTCTGTAAGAGTGCAGCTATGCCTCTGACTGTAGTTGCCTTGGTTCCATACTGTGTCCACTCGTTAATGAAGACAACTGAAAAGAAACTTAATTAAGTAGAGGTTCAAAATGATTAGCAATGTGGGGATGGATATGAGCTGTTCAAGAACCTTCCACAAAGGCAGTTTTGCTAACTCATTTTAACCAAAGGGATGCTACTGCATCTTTGATGTGCTCCTGGTAAGTAACCAGTATATCCAAAATCAGTACACTCTGGAATTACTTTGGCAGCTCATAAATATTATTAGTTGCTGATTCCTAGAAATATTGCAATCACACTGCAGTATGGTTAGAAATGGCCCAATACTCTGGGTCATAACAAAGTTTTAAAGTATAATCAACTAGTTTTATTTAGCTATATGGTGGTCTTTAAGTTCTCTCCATCTCTAGCTAGATGATGCTTCAAGCATCAGTTGTACATAGTGATACTCGGTATTTAATGTTTTACATATAGATACTGTGTGTTAAACTGCTACATAATGGTGTGACAGTATCACACCACCTACCACTGGACTGTACGGCTGTACCCAGGCACTGTGAAAAAGGCCAGCATAGTTATAAGCAAGGCTTTACATTTAACTTATTGAGCTTCCTGAGCAAAACAGCTTCTGATTAAGTCAGATGAGAAAAAAAAAAAAAAAAAAGAAGTTTATTTCCATTATACTCTGTAGAATATATTTTTGCATTACTTTGTGGGTTTTGTCATTCTTACTTTTTCAAAGTGGTCACATAAATCATGAATGATACAGATCACACCTTTGAAAGCTGTCAGTGATGAAATTATCTCAGTATATGACCTCAAGAATATTGTTCATGCTCCTATATTGCAAAGATAACTCTCTGCTAATTCTCTCAGATCAAGAGACACAAGCCTGAATCACTGTTAGTAGTTGTGTAAATCATGAAAATGTGGTTGCAGACTGTCATTGCAACTTTATATTCTTGTCAGCTTTATTTACCTAAGCGCACAAATAGCTAGTATGTTAAATATGTTTGCTATATAAAATGGATGTTCTAAATAGGCAAAAGTGGGTACTTTCCATTTTTACTCATTATTTGGCATCTACTGTTGTATATTCCCTTTCAGAAGACAATTTTTAAGCAATATTTTGCTGATACCATCTCATAATACTTAGTATACAAGCTGTTCATATATAGCCTTAGTATACAAGGCCATAAGATGAGTAATGAGGGCTGTGTATGTATGATCTGAAAAAAATAAGGCTTAGAAGATGTAAACATGATATTGTTTCCAGACTTCCAATTAGGTGTGGGATAATTCAAACTGAAAGAATCTTATTTAATTTGGGTAAACAAGGTGAATAGTTTTGTACTGGCCTTTAGGAATAAACATTATACAAATTACAGCAGCAAATCTGAAACAGGCATTCTTATTTAAGAGCCTAGTAAGACTACCTTGACTTAAAAAAATGAGTCATCTGGTTTTAACAGTTTGAGGAGTATTCTATTTTGTGTATCTCCTCATATCTTCTGTAATGGATCTCTGAACTCTTTTTCCTGCAGCAGCTGACCTGAAACCAGTCTTTTCTATAATTGTAATTCCTTAAGCAAAATTACTTAACTAATGGGACTAGAAACAAATAACCAAGAACAAAGACAGCCAAGACAAAGATCAGCTGTGTTAAGTTGCTCTGTGCTTTGTTATTCCCTACCAGTGAGGTGACCTACAGAGCCATCACAGAACACTAGCATGTTGGTCTTGCTGTCCTTCTGTTTCTGGCTCCTTCTGGCCAGCAGTAGGGGATGCTTTGTGCACAGCTGTCGGAGGCTTTCAAAACAGCATTTGGATTTAGTGGCAATATTGGCAATTTTATGCTGGGAGTTACGGGTAGACATCACATTTTTAAGCTTCTACCACATGAAGGTCTCTGCTTCCTGGCCCTGGCAAAGAATCTTGGTGCCTCTGTTGGGATAGACACAACCATAAATGTAGAATGACAACTGGCATTTCTGTACAAGACAGCAAATGACACCATCTACTGTCAAGACTAACAATTCAGGCTTGAAAGATGTAAGCAAATGCCTTTGGGTTGGCAAATGCCTTTGGGTTGGCTCAGGGACTTGTCACCAAGTTCCAGGGCAGCTACGGCAGCACGACCAGTCCAGCTCTGCACCGAGCAGTCCATCAAGGCTTGTTGCTCATGCCCAGACATACTGTGTAGCTCCACTTGAAATTTAATCCCTTTGCACAGGTACCAAAGGTCTTTATAATCAACTGGTTGTCAGTAGCACATAGAAATTAAGTGGCAGGAACTGGCACTCAGGAATGTGCAATTGTTTGTGTGTGCTGTGAGTGCCTGCATGCTTCTGGGAAGTACCAGCATACTTCCCAACACTCAGCTCTCGATATTCCCTAGCTGCTTGAAAACAGGATGATGTTACAATGAAGAGCAGTAGCAGTGCCACCTAGGTGGGGCCGTGTCCCTGTGCTCCTGCAAGGGGATGACAGGCAGGGGCTAGTGTTCTTGAGCTGGCCTTCTCTGCAGCTCTGTCCTGCACAGCAGACCCTTGTCACAGACATGATCCAGTTACCCAGAAATACCTGTTAGCTGGTGCAAGATATTCATGTGCCTGTCTGAAGGGTAAGAGAAGTGCTAAAGCACAAGAGCAAGTGAAAAAAATACAATTCATTGGTTTAATTTGGGTCATGAAAATGGTGTCCTTTTAGGCAAAAGAATTATGAAATAAGTACACATAGTCATGGTAGTTTTTAATAAAGAGTCATTATTTTTCCATGGCCTTAAATACTAATATAAATTAAATATCATATAGGTATGTCAGTAGCTTATTCATACTGATATTTATATTGATACTCTGTCGATATTTTCAGTCCTAAGCCATCAAACTAATTATTGCTCTGAAACATAAAAAGGCTGAAAATATTAAAGCAAATAATGCAGTTCTTTTTTTAATTTCCAGTTAAGGTTTAAAATACAGACTTCCTTGAGAAAAATAGCCATTTCAGTGCCAGCTGTGTGAGTTCAGTAGGGACTTTGGCAGCAATTCTATTAATGGATTTGTACAAAAGTTGAAATTAGGTTTTGCTGCCTGGAATTAAGGGATGTATCCTAATAAATTTTTGCCCTTCCAGCTCTATTCAATTACTGGTACTGTTACATAGTTTTATAAGAAGTGGTGTGATTTTTTATAAAGTGAGTGGAACCGCCCCCTGCCCTGCAGATTTTAGGACATGGAGAATGACTTTTCTGGTTAATACTCTATTATTCAAAATCAATATTTAAATGTCGGAACTGTAATTTATACTTTCAGTCTATCTGCTTTGTCTCCAAGATCCTAGTCACTAAAGCAAAGAGTGCTGTTGTGCTACAGACAATAACTCATATTTCAGAAAAACCTGCAGTAGATCTTGTAATAAACTGTGATAGATACAAGCTTCTGCCAAAAGAAGCTCCTTCTTGACCTTTGTCATATCTGAATGCATTGTTGGTGTTTATCAACTGTATTTAATGCAAACAAAGAGCTAATTATGGTTTTTTTCCACCTTTACTGATTATGATTTCTATAAAAATACATATTATTGTCTTGTCTTCCAAAAAAAAAAAAAAAAAAAACTGGTTTAAATAACTGATGATTAACTGTAGGATTTTACATTAATTTATCCAAAACATGTATTCCTATTCAAAAATCTATTTGACAGCTTTGATTAGAATGGTGAGTGCTAGGTGGAGAGTTGTGGGCTAAGAAATGATCCTCACCACCTTCTGTTCCTCGCCTTGATTGCTTTCCTTACTTTTGTGGAGCTGCCTTCTTTGTAAGTACTGCCTGGTTTTGTTGAAGGGGCACTGTGGTGTCAGTGCTGCGGCCACACACGGGGGAAGTGCAGCCTCCTCCTCAGCACAGCTGACCTGTGTGGTACGATGGGGGGAAAGGGTGGGGGTTCTGTACCCACAGGAAAGGGATCTGCAGTAACCCTCTGCAGACTGAACATTAGGAGAGATGTGATCCCTTCATATGTACAGCATCATTCTTGGGATTGTTTTCACTCATTCAGCTTACCTAGAGAAGGGGCAGTTTCCAGAACACTGGAGCAGAGTCTTCCTTGATTGCTAGTTGAGGCATGACAGGACTGTGCAGTCTGACTGCAGCTAATGGCAATTCCACAGATCATCAGAAAAGATCCTTCCCATTTTCAGGCTTGCTTTCCCCTATCAGTGGGGAAATGCATTCCTGAATGCATTAGCCTGTGCCTAGTCCCCTGCATGTGCTGGACAAATGTGCTTGATGCAGAGAGCTACATACCTTCAGTGTTCCACAGGCCTCACAGTATTGTAGAGCACTTCGCAGCAAATGGAGCACCAACATACACATACCTACCATAAAAAGTTTGTTTACAGAAATCTTTCTAATTTAGAATCACAGTAATTCAGCTAATAGGGGCTCCAGTAGTAACAAGTTTCCAGTAGGCTCCCTCCATGGCCATCAGTTCATCATGAGTGCCCCTTTCAATGACGAGTCCCTGGGACATCACGGCAATGATGTCGGCGTTCTGGATGGTGGACAAGCGGTGGGCAATGACGATGCAGGTCCTCCCTTCTCTGGCCTTATCCAGCGCTGCCTGCACAGTCTAAAGGCAACAAGGTGTCAGAGTGAAAATATGCAAACCAAATCAGGGCTCAGAGCTGCAGGAACCCAATTGCTTCAGATAAATTGGCTTTTAAAAGTGACAAGTGAATGAGGCTAAATCAAAGGTTATGATACTGGTGTGCTTAACTGGGTCAGGAACTCTGTTCACAAGAAGTACAAAGGAGGAACAGGTAAACACAGACAGCAGTAGAAATTAATGAAGGCTTTTACTCAGGTAATGTGCTAAGTGTCAGCTCAGTGTGGATATGGTTTTAAATTCCACGATTTCTCTAATCTCTGCAAGTAACCAAGCTACACAAATTATCGCCCATGTTCTTAGGCCCCTCACTGCTGTTTTTATTGGCTAGTCAGGATCATGATTTGTATGCATTAATACATTTTTATTTTGGTTGTTTTTTAATGTACAGTTACATTTATGAACTATTCCTATCTGAATGCTTTGAAACCCAGGCAATTAGTACCCACATTTCTGAAAAAGTGCTGCCTCTTATGGACAGTTTAGGAGCCCTTGGAGCTGACTTCTTTTTTTTTATAGCTGTGCCTCCTGCATCTTTTGGAAAGATCATTAGAGATGGAAGTGCTGAATTCACAATACAGAATAATGTGCGGTCCTGTAGTGGAGTATGTTGGGATGTCTCTATAGAACAGAAAGGCTTTGTACACCATAAGCCATTGTATTAACTTTCCCCTATCACTCATCACTGCACACCTACCTTTTCGCTTTCCGTGTCTAAGGCAGAGGTAGCTTCATCCAGTAATAAAATTTTAGGATCTCGGATGATGGCCCTCGCTATGGCAATGCGTTGCTTTTGCCCACGAGACAGCTGGGATCCTTGTGCCCCAACATTAGTTTCATATTTCTGAAAAATATACAAAAGGAAGATTTTATTCAGTTGTAAGCCAACGCAGCAGTACACAGCCTGAAGGAAGAGCGGGAGGAGAGAGGCAAGAATGCTGACCACAGCTGCCTCTTCCTTACAGAAGCCAGGGATGCAGAAACACTGTGCAGTGCTACACATGTTTGAGGAGAGGTTTCCAAGCCATGCTTTGCCTGCACCTGCTCAGAGGCCCAGGCAACACAGTGATGAGCCTGGAAGAAAACTGTGATAGCAAGAGGCTGGCTGATTTGTCTAAGGCAAAAAGAAATCCCCTGCCCTAGACTCGGGAGAAGATGCTGAGAGTGATTTCAGAGCTTGTTTTGTTTGGGTGCCTAAATTGTATCCGCACCTTTAATGTTCTTCTGATTT